AAAGAAATGTAAAAAAGCAAATATAAATAAATAAATATATAAATAAATATACAAAGAAAAGTAAAAAAGCAAAAATAAATAATTATGTATAATTTTATTTCCTTATATATTTTTTCACTTTTTTTTATTTATACATTTATTTATTTTAACATTTATGTATTTATTTACGTATTTATTTATTTATTTCTACATTTATTTATTTCTAGATTTCTTTGTCTGTAGGGTAATGAGGAGGGGGCGTTTTACCTCAGAAATAATAGCAATGAAGCCAGAGTAGGCGAGGGGTAAGCTTCGAGGCCACAGTGACACCTCGTGGTGCCCAAACGAAGTTAGCCTACATGACGCGCCTGTTGATAGTGTGGGATGAATGATTTAAACGGGCAATATGGCCAAAATCTTATATCACGAGTTATTATTTCAATTTCACGTGGGGGATTGTTAAGCGTGCAATCTGTGATCACGTGCATTTGCTGAAGCTCGCGAAAGCGTTCAATCGCTTTCTTATGCACGCTGTTTTTTTTAGGGTCCACTTTCAACACATACAACGCATGTTTCAAAGATTCGGGATAGAAGGAGGCATCAGTTACTGTAGAAGATTTGTCATCTCGCGCCACTTCCTGTGTGGTCACCGCGTCAACTGATTATAATGAGTTCTCTTGGTGTATACATGGCTTTAGATACGGATCAATCGGCTGATTAATCACACGTCTTAGGCTGAAAATATCCAGATCAAATAAAAGGTGTACATGGGAACGGAGCTAGTGAAACACACACGCCATGCATTGTAGCCTAAAACATGCTTAATATTCGCGACTGACACCAACGATTGTATGCGGCTATGCAGTGGAGATGCGTTCACGGTCAAATATCATTCAGCATTCATTTTGAAATTGTCAAATATTTTTTCTTGATTACAAGAAAAAAACTATTGTCCTTGTTGTGATTTATTTCTTGTTTTTCATTTAATTCACAAGTTAACACTGTAAATTAAAGGGTTACGTTTTTTTTTCTGCAGACGAAGAAAGTATAGCCTGAATTATGTCAGTGATTTCTCTCATTTTAAAGATTATCAAGAATAATTTTTTTTCGATTTGCAGTCTAATAAAATTTAATAAAATTAGCCTATAGATCTATAACCTACAGGCTAATTTCATTCTTTCTTAACCACTTATATACTAAGTCACACACAGCTGCATGTTCACAAATCACACCTGAGCAATTGAAATCAGCCATATAGATTATTTTATAAAATGGTTAGAAATGAAATGCCCTTCCCCCATCAGAGAAACTCTTCTCATGCAGATATGTTGATGTGTGCGCACGCGCGTCTGTGAGGCATTTCTCTCATTTTAAAGATTATCAAGAATAATTTTTTTCGATTTGCAGTCTAATAACATTTAATAAAATTAGCCTATAGATCTATAACCTACAGGCTAATTTCATTCTTTCTTAACCACTTATATACTAAGTCACACACAGCTGCCATGTTCACAAATCACACCTGAGCAATTGAAATCAGCCATATAGATTATTTTATAAAATGGTTAGAAATGAAATGCCCTTCCCCCATCAGAGAAACTCTTCTCATGCAGATATGTTGATGTGTGCGCACGCGCGTCTGTGAGGCCTAGTTTCCGAAGTGAGGAGGGAATATTACTGTATTTATTAGTTTTCTGTTTCAGGTATGATTCTGAATGTCCTTATGTCCATCACTTTACACTGTAATGATGCTTATTTGCTCTGTGCTGCAAATATATTTTTTTAAACTAAAAGACAGAAAACAGATGTTTTCTCATGCTGAGAGATAAGCAGATGTACGTGTGAGAGAAAATATAATATATGGTTTTAAAAATATGAGAAGTAGTTCCTATTCTGTTTTTATTTGATTCTCTTTCCGTTGCTTTCAGGAATTATTTTTTAGCGGAAGGACGACATTTAACAAACTTGCTTCAAAAAAGTAACTTTCAAGGTCCAATAGTTTTCGTGTGTGTGTGGGAAATTGGAAGCAAGCAGAAAATGGCTGTTTCTAGAGCACATGTGATGCCATCATGTATTTGTGGTTAAAAACTAAACTCAGAATCATTGTGGCTCTTAGGAGACTAACTTTAACAGAAGATACTTTGTTGCTCCACACATAAAGATGAACCACTTACTGTGATTTCAGACTGTGCTGATCTGCTTTCTCCACTGCATGGATCTTCATGTGACTTTTAATAGTGAAACTCGTTTCGCACTGATCAGATGTGTACGGTTTCTCTCCAGTGTGAATCCTCTCATGTAGTTTCAGGGTTCCTGACCGATTGAATCTCTTGTCACAGTGTGAACACTTAAAAGGTTTTTCTCCAGTGTGAATCATCTGGTGCCGTTTTAAACTGTTTGCAACGAAAAAAGTCTTCCCACACTCAAAGCACATGTACTCTCTCACACCAGTATGAATTTTCTCATGTTTATGTAAATTTTGCAGCAGTGAAAAACTCTTTCCACAAACGGAACATGAATGCGGTTTTTCCTTCGTATGAACTGTCAGGTGTTCCTTCAGGTTTGATGCCCAAATAAATGTTTTTCCACATTGATCACATGTGAACGGCTTCTCTCCGGTGTGGACTCTCATGTGAACATTAAGATTACTTTTTTGCATAAAGTTCTTTCCACACTGATCACATGTGAATGGTCTTTCTCCAGTGTGGATTCTCATGTGAAGTTTAAGACTTTGTTTGGCTGTGAAACTCTTTCCACTGTGAATCCTCTCATGTAGTTTCAGAGTTCCTGACCGATTGAATCTCTTGTCACAGTGTGAACACTTATAAGGTTTTTCTCCAGTGTGAATCATCTGGTGCCGTTTTAAACTGTTTGCAACGAAAAAAGTCTTCCCACACTCAAAGCACATGTACTCTCTCACACCAGTATGAATTTTCTCATGTTTATGTAAATTTTGCAGCAGTGAAAAACTCTTTCCACAAACGGAACATGAATGCGGTTTTTCCTTCGTATGAACTGTCAGGTGTTCCTTCAGGTTTGATGCCCAAATAAATGTTTTTCCACATTGATCACATGTGAACGGCTTCTCTCCGGTGTGGACTCTCATGTGAACATTAAGATTACTTTTTTGCATAAAGTTCTTTCCACACTGATCACATGTGAATGGTCTTTCTCCAGTGTGGATTCTCATGTGAAGTTTAAGACTTTGTTTGGCTGTGAAACTCTTTCCACACTGATTGCAGGTGAAAGATTTCTTGGCTCTCCTTTCCTTTAAAAATGTATTTTTAGTCTTTGAGCGTCTCAAAGGTTCCTCTCCAGGTTCGTCATGATGTTTCTCCTCCACTTCACTCATTTCTTCACTCTCCTCGTTCTCTTCCATCAGCTCTGAAATGAAAGAAAAACCGTTTAACTTCGTTTTCAGTACACCAAAAGTAATTTTTAAAAAAAGTGAAGGACATAAAAGTGAACCATGATGTAACAGCAGACATTAGACAACTAATAGAAAATATTTCCATTTTGTTGTGTTTTTTTTATTAATTATATAAGCAGTGTAAACGTATAGACATATGGGAGACCTTGGCAAATATAATTTTTCCATTACCGTTTGTTCCAACAGTGAAAGAAAAAGGCAGACCGAAGGGACAAAACATGTCATATTTTACCTTTTTGAGTCAGGGTAAGTGTCATAAATGTACATGAATTATTTTTAGGCAGAAAACATAAGGAAAACAGATAAACCTTTGCCCACAAAATGTTTGAGATTGCACTAATGTAAAATCAAAGTGAATGTGTCTCACAGGTTCTGGGTTCAACAGTTTTATGATTCTGGAAAAAATATATATCTTCTCACTGTCAGTTCCATCACATTTTTAAGACGTTTGAGAGGTGGATTTATGACATTTTGATGATAATTAAGACCTTATTTTTACATTAAGGAACGCAAAACTTTTTAAGGATCCACAGGCACACTGTTAAATCTTTGTTAGCTTAATGTACCACAAATAGTCATTAAAGATCAATGAAGAATAAATACCAACCTCCGTGTTCCTCCTGTTTTATTCTCCGGGTTTCTTGTTCCTCGTGTTTTATTCTCCGGGTTTCTGGTTCCTCGTGTTTTATTCTCCAGGGTTCTGGTTCCTCGTGTTTTATCCTCCAGGTTTCTGGTACACTCGTGTTCGATTCAAAAACTCTATTTTTCTATTTACAGAAACAACATTTCTAACCGTTTAGTATGCCAACAAAACAACAGAGATCACGGTGAAACTGAACTTCTTCCTCTGAGGTTTAATGGTGTTTGGCAAACAAACGTATGTGTTTTAGCGCCACCCGCTGGACTGGAGTGTGAAGCACGTCGAGTAGTGATGGGCAAATGAAGCGTTGATATTAATTTCCATATGACTGTTCTGGGAAAAGATTCAAAGCTTCGAGTGTGTCAAAAGCAGCCTCATCCGTTGGTTAGTAAAAAAATAAAGAAGCTCCGTCGGACGCAGCCACCACACATTTCATAGAGTAATTCATGTTACCTGCACAAATAAAAGCCTGTGTGTCTGGGTTGACCATCTCTCTCTGATAAATTCATTTACCGATTAAACTCTGCCATTATGCCAGTACGAATATCAATATGATGTAATAAAAACATACACAAACATACAAAAAAATTGAAACCGTCACAGAATTTGTAATGGTTTTACTGGTTATAATAGGAATTGTACTGGTTTTAATGGAAACTGTAATGATGCCTATTGGTCTCTACTGGTAACTGCCTTCCAAGATGGCGCTGACGTGTTGTGGCCTGCCATCGCTCCTCTCTGTTAACTATGTTTCTTTTTTGTGTTCTTTTATATTTTTGTTTTATCCTTCATTTGCCGTGGGTTTATGATTGCAGTACCCTGATTCAGATTCGTTCGTTTGTTATGGACCTGTCGATCAACAGTGGAAATAAGTACTTCTTTCCTCATTCTGCACTGCTACCATGCATACAGTGTTCTCCAGCTGAATGTGTGTGCTGCTTGGATAAAAGTTGATGAGTGGAGTCCATGTCATGAACTTTTCCCAACTGACTATAACAGATCAGTGGGTCTTGGTGGGGGTTTAGCTACAGTGTTCAAACAGCAGTTTAAATGTCGCCGTTTATCGACCATAAACTACTTGAGCTTTGAAGTTCAATTGTTAAAACTGGACTTATTTACGCCTGTTTTGGGTGTGGCCAAATAGGCTTTTACCCAGGACTTTTTTATCCTCTATTTTGTTACTGTCTGATCATATCTTAATTGTTGGTGATTTTAATATTCATATTTGTTGTCCTGGGAAGCCTCTGGTCAAGGAGATTTCAGACTTAATGGACTCATTTAATTTTATCCAACATGTCTCAGGCCCTATACGCATGAGAAATGACATACTTTAGACCTTGTTTTTTCCTTATGGTTGTTAATTTGTGATGTTGATGTTAATGACATTTGCATTTCTGATCATATATGCCTGTTATTTTCAGTGTAAATGTGCTGAATGAAATGAGGGTGAGTCAGTCCTCTTATGTTTGTTCTCGTACAATTACTTCATCTACACCACAGGCTTTTGGTGAGATCTTTAGTACCTTTTTCTGATGTATCATGGTTGGAGTCTGCACCTCTCACGGCTGATCCAGATGAGTTACTTACTGTTTTTAACTCTGTTTGCTCTGAAGTCTTGGACTCTGTTGCTCCTTATAAGATTAGGCGTCATGAGGCAAATCATCAGCCTTGGTTAAATGAACATATCATGTTCTTAGACAGCAGTGTAGGAAGGCATAATGGGCTTGGAAGAAAAATTAACTTCTGATCTCTCATCAGATTTTATGACATTCATTTCTTAGGTATCAGAAAGCTGTAAAGGATGCTAAAGTGGCCTATTTTTGGGGGGGCACCAAGGCTGGATTGGTAATCGGGCATACCGGGCATTTTCCCCGTGGGCCGACGCACTTAAGGGACCGACAAAATGTTTGTTTTTTTTGCCGAGGACCATCACGCAGGGACAGCGAGCAGCCAGTGGCCCATTGGTTTGTCTCCTGTATTGACAGTGTAAACATCCAATCGCTATAGACGGAGCGATTAAGTATTTTGCTCCGCCTATATAAAGATCGCTTCACCCCGACTTCTTCTTCGTCGGCTTTTCCCACGTTTTCACAGCAGATTTATCAAGAACAGGCTTGCTCTGTGTGCGGGCCAAAGAGCCAGGCAGGGAGAGAAGAAGAGAGTAGTTGAATTGGTAAAGTGCTTGACAGGGACTCGCAACGGAGGCAGGAATCTAACCTATCCTAATGTGTGCGCGCGGCTGCGTGCCATGAGTGTAAACACTTTTTACTAAAACGTAAATTCGTCCCCCGGATAGGGACTCGCAACGGAGGCAGAAATCTAACCTATCGTAATTGTGTATGCGTGGCTGCGCACCATGAGTGTAGAATACGTAAACAGTTTTTAATAAAACGTAAATTCGTCCCCCGTGATTTTTTAGCCAAGTCAAGTCAAGTGTGTTCATATAGCTTTCCATGGGCCAATGAGAATAAAGCTAGATTTAAATAAAAAAAAGACACGATATTGTCGGACCTGACATTTTATTCTTATCCAAAACAACATGTGATATGAGTGTGATACATTGGCTACATAGCCTACATACACTACCAGTCAAAATTTTTTGAACAGTAAGAAAGATCCAATAGAAAGATCCAAAGATCAGCATTCATATGAAATAAAAAGCTTTTGTAACAT